ATCTATCTATCTATCTATCTATCTATCTATCTATCTATCTATCTATCTATCTATCTATCTGCCTGTGTGTGCAAGCATGTGTATGCAAGCTTATATGAGTTTATGTGTACCCCGTGAGTGCAAGAGCCAGTACAGAAGATGGTGTTGGATCCCCTGGAACTGAAGTTTCAATGGTTATGAGAACCCATTTTGGTACTGGGGACCAAACCCAGGACTTGTGGATGAGCAGCAAGTCTGAGCCCTACTTTTTGTTCGTTGGTTTGCTTTTTATTCGGTCAAGGTCTCATGTAGCCCAGGTTGGCCTCAAAGCCAATGTTTGCTGAAGCTGATCTTGAATGTCTCATTTTCCTGCCTTCACCTCCTAAGTGCTAGAATTATAAGCACAAGATACCACCCCTGGTTTTAGGTAGTGCTGGGAATCAAATCCAGGATTTTGTGCATACTAGAAAGGATACTATCAATTGAACTCCAGCCCTCCAGCTATTATCATTGTTTTAATGTTGAACATGTTCTGGACTTTACCAAAAGCATTAAGCTGATTTCTTGTCATTTTAGCAAGCTCCTGACTTGCGAGCATTCCGTTTCTCTTGGGTATAGAAGGCTGCAAGGTTAGGTACTTTTGTGCTAGTGCTGGTCCTTTTTTTGGGACAACATTCAGAAAACAAGATAGGGTGCTAGATGAACTTGAAGCTAGGATTTCATAGCTTCTAGGCTACCTCAGGCTACAGGTTTTTCAGGGCCAGCCATGAGACTGGGCTTATAAGCTACGAGCTCAGGTACAACAGGTACCCATCAGCAATGAATCAATAGGAAGTGCACCAAGCTCATAATTTGTAGACATCATTCAGCTTTTGCCTTAGCTTGAGTTATTTCCACAGCAAAGGTCTTGGGTGCTAGGTTCATGGTGGGGGTTGGAGTAGGGAAGGCGCAGAGAGGAAGGGTGATCTCCAGGGCTCTGAGGTAGATCTGGGTCTCCTGGAAACAGAAAGCTTCACGGCTGTTTCCTGGCATGGAACTTCTGGTATTTTCAAGGCTACTTAGTTGGCTGGCTTGTGAACTAAGAAATAGGGTGACTAGGGTGTGAGGGAAGGGGACAAACCGTGCAGGGCCACAGACAGAGTCTGCCTCCATGAGGAGAACTATGTCTCCTAGTCTGGCTTAATTTCTGCTCTGCCAGAGCTGCTGGAGAAGGACAGTGTTGAGACTCCTCTTGGCAGTGGATGGGGCCAAGGGCTACCTGTCACTAGAGGCTTTCCCTTCCTTACCCATCTGGTCCTAAAGATAGGAAGCCTGTTTGTTTTTCTCTAGAGCCATTTGGCCTGTAGAAGGCAGATAGATGGTATATGAAAGAGGCCAAGAGAACAACACTCTTTGGAAGGGTACTGAGCAGCTCCTGCAGTTCAGAGGGACTGGGTACTTGGTGGTCCTGTTGTCTCTCAGAACACACTCTCTCTGCCCTACCTCAGCTATGCTGGCCTGTGATAAAGGACCAAGTTCACACTCAAGACTCAACTCTCAGGCAGGATCCCAGAAGGATCTACATTATGTTGGGTTGAGGGAGATGAAGAACCCGAGGAGGATGGCATTAGCTTTAATGGTCAACTTGACACAAGCTAGAATCATCTGAGGAGAGTCTTAATGAAGAATTATCTACATTTAGTGAAGATTTACTTGCATAGCCTTGGACATGGCTATGGAGGATCATCCTAAATTAATTGATATGAGATCCAGCCTACCTCAGGTGGCAACGTTCCCTAGGCAGGGGTTTCTGAGCTGTAGAACAGTGGAGAGATAGGGCTGGAGAGATAGCTAGACAGTTGAGAGGATCAGGGTTCAATTCCCAGGACCCATACAGCACCTCACACCTGCCTGTAACACCAGTTCCAGAGGATCCGACACCCTCACACAGACATACATGCAGGCAAAACACCAATGCACATGAAATAAAAATAAATAAATATTTTAAAACTGGAGAGATAAAGCTGGATACAAGCAAGCAGGCAAATGAAAATTCATGTTTGTCTGCTCCTTTTTCTTTGTTTATTTCTTGTTTGTTGATTGTTTTATTTTGTTTTGTTTTCAAGACAGGGTTTCTCTGTGTAGTCCCAGCTGTCCTGGAACTTGCTCTGTAGACCGGGCCGGCTTCAAACTCAGAGATTCACCTGCTTTTACCTCTGGAGTGCTGGGACTAAAGGCATGTACCACCACCTCCAGGCTTATTTTTCTGCTCTTGACTGACAATGATGTGACTGGCTATTATAAACTGGAATTGTGAGCTGAAATAAACCCCCTTATCCTCTAAGTTGCTTTTTGTCAAGAAATTTAATCAGAGCTACAGACATGAAACTAGGCCAGAAGCTGACTCACTCTTCCCTCATCTCTGCCTGTGCAGCTTTCCATGGTGGGCTGAGGAGAGGGCTGAGGGTCCTGCAAGTCAGAGGAGGATAGAGTGTTTGGAGTGGGGTGGGGGCTAATGGTTTTCAGATGGCCAAGATGATCCTGGAGATGAAGCCTCAGTGGTGGGAGGAGCAGCCGGGGATGGCAAGATGGAGGGACACCCCAGGACATTAGACAAAGACTGTGTATCTTGCAACTACCAGGTGGGCACTATGGTCCTGAGGTATTCTGGCTGATCCAATAGTGTTTCTGGGGACTAGTGTGGCCACCAACCTTTCCCTGACACTTTTATCTACAAGAATAACTCCGGTGATCACCTTCTTAGGTGGTCAGGGTACTTGTGAAAAGTACCTAGTGAACTTCAGTCAACTAAAGAGGGTGTGGAAGAAGCCGAGAAGGAGAAAGAATAGGGAGTGTGCTGGCTGGTTTTATGTCAGCCTGACACAACTCTAGTCTTTGGAGAAGAGGAAGCCTCAATTGAGAAAATGCCTTTATAAGATCTGACTGTAGGGCCTACTTAAAATTAGTGATCAGTGGGGGAGTGCCCAGCCCACTGTGGGTGGTCCCATCCCTGGGCTGGTGGGCACTATAAGAGAGCAGGTGGAGTAAGCCATAGTGGCAAACCAGTAAGCAGCACCCCTTAATGGCATTGACATCAGCTCCTGCCTCCAGGTTTCTGCCCTGCTTGAGTTCCTGTCTTTTGACTTCCTCCAATGCTGAACAGTGATTTGGTGCATACACCAAATAAAGCCTTTTCTCTCCAATTTACTTTTGGTCATGGTGTTTCATCACATGAGAACCTCACTAGGACAGGGAGAGATGTCCTAAAAAGAGGTATGAACAGTCAAAAGGGAGAAAGAGATACTCCTCATTTTACTTCAGAGACATAGAAGCTAGAAGTGACATGCAGACCACCAGACCCCTAAGAGAAAAAGCTGCAGCGGGTCAGGGAAGCTGGCAGCACGCAGTCAATGTCTAAGATACGTGGTCATCATTATCAACAAGCTTTAAACTGATTTTTAACATTTGTGTGTGTGTTGTGTTGTTGTAGTAATAGTGAGAGGTATGTGTACTTGTCAGTGTGGGTGTGTTACATGCACGTGTGTATTCATGGCAGAGGTCGACATTGGACATTGTTAGATTATGGTGGAGGTGACACAGAGGTAAAAGATAGAAGATAGGCATCTCCAGAAGCAGGACTGTAGGGCCACAGTCTTCCTGAGGAGGCAGAGGCTGTGATCTGTGGTTCTGGGGGCTTGAAGTTTTATAGGGCTTGAGGGAAGGAAGGACATATCAGGGTGGGCTAGGGGATGATTTTCTGACCTTATTCCGGCCTCTGAAGTTTCAGATAGGAACTATCTGTTATGGCCTTTATTCTCAAGCATGGGGGGAGGGGGGTTCCAGGAGAGCTTTGCCAGACTGAGATATTTTAACTTTTAGATATACCTCCTCAATTTCCCTCTACCTTATTTTTTGAGACAGAGTCTTTCACTGAACCTGAATCTCACTGACTGGTCTAGGCTGGATGGCTGCTGAGCTCCATGGATGCCCTTGTCTCCTCCACTCCTCACTGCCAAGTGCTGGGATTGTTACAAGTGTATTCAAGTGCATGAATTTACACACACACACACACACACACACACACACACACACACGAAGAAATTAGAAATGTAATAAAACACCTTTTTAAAAAATGTGAAGAGTAATAGAGAAAGTACTTGACCTCTGGCCTTCATGTATGTTCATGAACACCCACCTGCACATATGTGAACACAAATATGCATATCACACATATAACAGAGGGGAGAGAATAATAAAAAGAACCAAAATACCTGAAGCAGCATCTTAATGACCTTATGCACCCCAGAACCTCTCAATATAGTTACGTGGTGTCCTAGTTACTTTTGTATTGCTGTAAGAGACACCGGGACCAAGGAACTTTGTAAAGGAAAGCATTTAATTTGAAGCTTGCTTATAGTTTCAGAGGGTGAGTCCATGACTATCATGATGGGAAGTGTGGGAGCAGGCAGGGAGGCGTGGCACTGGGGCAATAAAGAGCTGAGAGCTTATATCTGATCCACAAGCATGTGGCAAAAAGAAAGACTCAAAAAGCCATTCTTCCAGCGACACACCTCTAACAAGGCCACACCCCCTAATCATTTTCATACAGTTCCACTAACTGGGGACCAAACACTCAAACACATGAGCCTATGCGGGCCATTCTCATTTAAAGCACCACACTGAGCAAGTAAACTTGGTTTTTTGTTTGTTTGTTTTTCAAGACAGGGTTTCTCTGTGTAGCTTTGGCTATCCTGGGCCTCTCTGTAGACCAGGCTGGTTTCAAACTCACAGAGATCCACTTGTCCCTGCCTCCTGAATGCTGGGACTAAAGGCATGCACCACCACTGCCCAGCAGCAATTAAATTTGTTAAGGACAATATCCCAACTTTAACACCCACTTGACTCCTCTAAGCTCATGCCCTGATCACAATGTAAAATTTGATCATGCCATCTCTATAGTTCCACAGTGTTAAACTCATCCTAGAAGAAACTCAGCATCCAGAGTCCAAGCTTGTTGAGCCAAATCAAATGACCTGTTTCCAGTATCGATGATGGGACAGTGACAGTGTCCGTTTCTATTCTAAAAGACAGGGAAAAGGGGTAAGTGGCCCAAAGCAAGTCTGAAAGTAAGAAAAGTAAAAGTCTTTCCCCCCCCCCACTATAAGTGCTGCCCATATTTCTGCACTTTACTCTTTTTTAAAAAATTCTTATTAATTATTTATTACAATTTATTCACTTTGTACCCAGCTGTGGCCCTCTCCCTCATCTTCTTCCAATCCCTCCCCCCTCCCTCTTCTCCTCCTATGCCCCTCCCCTAGTCCAGTGATAGGGGAGGTCCTTCTCCCCTTCTATCTGACCATGGCCTATCAGGTTTCATCAGGACTGGCTGCATTGTCCTCCTCTGTGGCCTGGCAAGGCTGCAGTCCCCCAAGGAAAGGTGAACAAAGAGCCAGCCACTGAGTTCATGCCAGAGACAGCCCCTGCTCTGCTTACTAGGGAACTCACTTGGAGACTGAGTCTATGGGCTACATCTGAGAAGGGGTTTTAGGTCCTCTCCATGCATTGTCCTTGGCTGGAGTATTAGCCTCTGCAGGTCCCTAGAGCCTAGGGTTTTTTTGTTTTTGTTTTGTCTTGTTTTTTGGAAACCAAAAGTCTTGAAGTTGGAACATACTTCTCCCTTTTCTATAGTACCCTTTGGTACTGGGACAAGGGCTGGGCCTCTGAGGAGTCAGGCAATCCCACTCCAGGACCTGCTGGGCTCATCCCTCATGGCTGTTCTCTGGGGTTGGAACTACACACTGAAGTGTGCCTTTTTCCAGGTGGGCATTGCACTCCATTAGTTTTATCATTATTCTGGTGTATCGGTACCTCAGCACTGGTCCTACTATGAGAAGTTTTTTTTATCAAAGGGAGCTAACCCTCTACGTGCTGACATTCCATGAATCTCCCCAACCTTGTAAAACTTTCACATAAAAGAATTCAAATCTTTTAATCTCTCCTGCCTTGTAAAACTTTAATGAAAATCTTTTAATCGCCCCACTTGGTAAAACTCCTGTGTAAAGCACAACTGTCTTCTGGGAACTTGATGGCTTAAAGTGGCCAACCCCCTTTCATTCATTTCTTTTACCCCTATCAAAAGGCGAAACAGCAACTAGCCAATGACGAAAGATTGTGACATTGAACTACAGCCAATGGGAAAAAGACAGCATCACCACCTGAGTTAGAATAAAATCTAAGTGAACTTCCTACCTGATGTCCTTGCTATCTTGGGTTGGGTCCTGGCATATGCTGTTTTCAAAGAGAAATCACCTTGCCCAGTTACTTTCCTTTTGTTCATGCATTTCTTTGTGTGACACCTACTATATATGTTTCTAGCACAACACCCACAGCAACTGTGAGAACTTCCTATCAAGAGTTTTCTGTGTGGCTCCATCCCTGGTGCTGTCAAGCTGTTCATTACAACCTTTGATATCTAGATGGAGGCCACCATGTCCTCTGAACTCTTTGTATTTGGCACACTGGGCAGAGTATTAGAATGTGGACACTGCCAAGGTCTGCTTGCTCCTACACCTGGGCTGCCGGAGCCATGATTGGAGAGCTCAGTTCTAGGCTGGAATTGGATGAGCTAAATGGGTCTCCAGGTAGCTTGGAGGCAGTGAGCACTTCTGCCCTCACCGCTCCCTCGTTCTGATGGTATGGGAAGAGAAGCCTTGACAGTCGGAGTGCTTTGAGGGTCTCTTCTCCCGATGCGGGAAGCTGACTTCTGAATCGATATTTATCTCTTAAACAAAGGGTAGCATGGCCACACTCTTAGCGTTCTCCATCGAGCAGGCTTTTTCATTCCTTACATGGCAGTTTGTGAAGTTTTGAATATTTTAATGCTTTCCTTGTAAATGACATCTTTAGGGCATTGCTTTGCTCTTGTATCTCAGCTTAAGTGGTTAAAAGCAGCTGCAAGCATGATGATCTTGATTCCCAGAACCCACGTAAACATACACATTTAAAAAGAAAGAGGTGGTGGAGGCACACTCCTTTAATCCCAGTACCCGGGAGGCAGAGGCAGGCAGATTTCTGTGAGTTTGAGGCCAGCCTGGTCTACAGAGTGAGTTCCAGGGCAGCCAAGGCTACACAGAAAAACCCTGTCTCGAAAAAAACAAACAAACCAAACAACAACAAAAAAAACAAAACAAATCACACCCCCACACACACACACAAAACAAAAACAAAAACAACAACAACAACAAAAAAAAAAACCCAAAAGGCAGGAGAGAAGGAAAGAAAGGCTGCATTTTGTAATTCTGGTTCTAGGAAGCAGAACTTGGGCAGGATGTTATCTAAGAAACA